AGCACTGACGTACTTCTTGGCAAAATGAGGTTTGCCCCTTGAGCGAAACAGAACGCAGGGTGTACGTCGCCCTGCATCGCTTTGTGAACCAAAAGCCATCCAAAATGAAGTGCTACGCATTGTGCAGCATTCTGCAAATGTAGGAAAACGACTGGGAATAGAATCGTTCCACAGTTCAAGCAATGAAAACGAGACTATGCATGATAAATTTCTAGCTCGATCTGATTGCTGGTGTGTTCTGACCTTGCCAATACGCTCTTTAACTTCGCTGCAGTGTATTACCTTGAAGTGGTCTTTGCCTGTGGTGAGGATGAATTTGCCATCTGGCGAAAAACTCAACCCCAATACTTCCACCTGTGCCCGCTGTTTGCTGAGGAGGGTCCCAGTTCTCCAGTCCCACAAATGCAATGACCCATCTGGGCCTCTGCCACACGATGCCAAGAGACGGCCTGCAGAAGAGGATGGGAAGTAACGGGTGCATTACGCGTAATTGAAGGCTGCATGGGAACAGTATGCTGCCAAAATGGCGGCGCTGCCTCGCGTAGCGTGACGGTTTACATGAAAAAGTTAAATTGAGCTGAAATTTTCGGCGCTTGCGCAGTGTACCCGCTTGCGCGAAGGCATACCAGACGTCACTTCGAAAGGCGGAAACCACCTTTCAACAAACGTATACGTAGGCGCAGCGATGGTAAACTGAATGGAACTTGCGGGCAACGTTCCATTGAAAGGAAGTATGGGTGGCAATCTCGATACTGTCGATTAGACGACTTGGTTAGTTTTATTATGATTACTTAATTATTTCATAATTAACTATGAAGAAAATTGTTGCAAAACTACTGTATACTATGATTATTGGTGGACACCACCTTGACCATTCCTTTTTGCATCATTTCAGCACGCACGCCAGAAGTATGCCCACAGCAAAAGGTCATGTTCCAAGAATGTGCCTCATATCAGAACGGGCCAAGCCATGCGAAGCAATCCTGACTATGTTGTGGTTCCGATCACAACAATTCACTTTCCGGCACATTTTTCACCAATGAATGGAATGGGCGTCCCTACCAAGACAATCAGCCACCACCCTTCAAAAAATGCTTGGCTCAGCGATGCACCGAACCACAAGCGACTTTAGTCCTGCAGAACATGTGTAGACAATGCAGTGGTATTTCTTCCAATGATTTAAATGGTAAGTTGATCAGTGGGATGCAATTTGCAGTTCAGCACTGCTCCGCACCATGTTTCTTTTGTGATGCTCCAATGCAGAATGCAAGTGGAAGTTATTTCAGTACACTTCAGCAGCAACCGGATGGTTGGATATCAAGTGAACCTGCCCTGAGGTGCAGAAAGAGTCCTTTGCAGCCGTGACTTAACGTCAATCAACGTGAAATGGGTGTCCATCGCCAGCGCATGACACACCCAATGCTTTGATTGGTCCTCACATTCTCTGTCAACCCATGGGCGATTGGCCTGTGCAGTAGTCGAAGCGGAGCTGATTCATGGTCTGCCTTTCGCATTCAACAAATGTAGTCTGGCTGCTGAAAGTGCAGAATGTTGGTATTGTGGCTTGCTCTCACTACCTGTCTTTCGGGTCCTTAGGGTACAGTGACTGCCAACCGGAACACGGCTTCAGCAAGACGACGACAGTGCCTGATCGGCTGGCTGATTTATCCCGGCAGTCAAGGCCAAGACCCGTGGTGGTGCGCACCGTTGGGCGCGAAGGCCATCCGCGCGACGCCCGCCTTGTGCGCGTCCTTCAGCTCCTTCGGACACGTGGCTGCCCCCTCCTTGACGTCCCAGACCAGGATGCCAGGCCTCTCCCCCACCTCGCCCCCCGCCAGCACGGCGCCGTCCTTAGCGAAGCACAGGCACGCCACGCAGTTGTGGCGCTGGCGGGAGGACAGGAATCGCAGCTGGGCATTGCGCCTGGGGTCGTACAGGACGACGAAGCGGCTGGCGGCCAGTGCCGCAAGGCCACCGGGCCCGAAGGCCGCGCAGCCCCTGGATGGGGCGCTGATGCCGATCACGTGCTCCAGCTCCAGCAGCGGCGCCTGTGGCACGTTTTTCCTCGCGTTGAAAGTCACATGCACTTCGCTTGTGCGAGGCTGGAGCGGCGTCGAGGGGGGGGGGGGGGGGGGGGGGGGGGGGGGGGGGGGGGGGGGGGGGGGGGAGTCGGGCGGAGGGCGCGATTGGACGGATCAACAGGATCCAGCAGAGGGCAATCGCTGAGTCTTCGGGCCAATTCGTCGTGGCTAAAGAAGGTAAATTGCTTCTGGGCGATGGTGGATGAAAAAGTGGGGACGAGAGAGTGGTGCGCACGCGTCCGTGCCCAGGCAAACGGATGAGCCACCAGGACGTTCAGGCGTCCCACCGTGCTCTGCCAACAGGGCGCGGTCGCGAACGGCGTGAAGTGAGGATTAGGGGCGACGACGGCCAGCTCCTGGCAGTGATCCGTCATATGAGCTTATTGGAGAATGACTGGCCAAGATTCGCCGCTTGTGCGGAGGGAACAGGCGTTGAGCACTCGCCCCAACGGGGCACAACTCCGCGGTGGTCTGATGCTCCCAGCCATTGGCGACCACGCGCCTCGTATGCAAGGCTTGCGGCTCAATGGATTCACAAGAGCATGGCCAATGAGGGCCGCAGAGAGCTGCACCTGCTCCCCCCCCTTTCAGCGCTTTCTATGAGCCAGACGATCAACGACGCCGCGCGGGCAGTCACCGACGCCCCCCCCCCCACCCCACGAGCAAGTCGGTTCAGCCCCATGGCCAAGACTGTGCCAGATACGGCAGCCGCATCGACGCGCTTGATCGACGCTCCTGGCCACATTGGAACTGCGCTCACCTGCCGCGCCCCTGTGCGGACTGGCCGAGTGGAACCGCCCCTTGCGTCCTCCATACAGACATCGGCCATCCTCTGGATTGATTTCAATGCCGCTTGGGGCCTGCCCGCCACCGACGGATTGGTGCAGAGACAAGCTGGCGGCCGGGAGGCTGGACTGGAGGCGCGCCAACGTTGAGCCGGTTTCCTTGGCAGGCGTTCTTGCCCCCTGCAGAATCGTCGCGCCTTGTCTCCTCCGCGCCTGGCCCCTGCCAGATACTGCAATCGTCAATTCGCAAAGCCCCTTCTACTGGCGGCTTTGCACGAAGGTGCCGCGTTCAAATTGCACGATGAGGCGGGGCACAATCAACGCATAATGTGTAATGACGCGCGACCAGTGTGGTGCGCAGTTCTGCTCGCCTGGGCGTCACTTGCGGCGCTCTGCCCCAGACAACCTAACGCATGTCTCTGAATTGAGTCTCTTCTCCTACGGTCCTCAGCTCGATCTTTCTGCCTTTTTGGTAATGTTTGCTTTTCAATCCGTTTCACTGCTTAATTCGATTTTCCCCTCATCCCCTCCCTGTTGGCATCTGCTGTTGATTTCGGGCAGGTTTGGAACACTGAAGGGATATCCGGGCCATCTGGTTAGGCATATCGAGCAAGTTTTGAGCGGGTGGTTGGTGCGATACAAGCATGATTTCTGATGCCTTCGGCCGTCATCCCCGCGGCCCATGTTCCACAGTGACGAAGCATACCACCTAGTAACGCACGTGAGAGGACATAAAATACACTGTTTGCAGGGCTGAGACTAGTCCCCACCACAGGTTTTAAGGATCTGAGTATGCTCTTCGTGTGGCCCACTCTATATATCTTGAAAATGCCTTGTTTCATGTTTCCAGCTTTGTTCAGAGTTCCTTGCTCGACGCACCATTGGTCTTGGTCTTGAGACGCCTTGCTACAGGGTCTGTGCATGAGGAAACAAGACTGTAAACTTGCGATTTTAAAGGTTTCGTCAGTTGCACGGTTTGTCCTGGACCATACATTCTTCTCTTCTTGAGTTAATCTACACATTGCCAAGAATGGACATTGGTTGCCTATGTCACCCCATCCTCCCTGGACTCACAGCAATATTGTAGAACAGTGCTTGCATGGCACTTTGCAATCAGCGTGCACCACCATGGACAGATGTTCTGCAGAACAGGGTTGCACATCTATTTCAACAACTGCGCCATTCCCACAACACTGTAGGGCCATGGAGGTGCCAAGCAGGTCGTTTGGAGTGGTGGTTCCAGCGGTCTCAATCTTGCACTTCTGCTGCTTCTCAAAAAGCAATACTTGCCCTTTACACAGCCTGTGTTCTCAGTTGCGACACACTGATCTTGCTTCTTGTGTTCTCACACAATGTGATGTGAAAACTACTGCCATTGCAGGCACCAATAATAAAAGAACATGTAGCGTGCCACACAGCTGCCACTTGTCAATGCGTCGCTTCAAGAGCCGGCGGATGCTCTGTCTCCAGGTTGTAAGTTTCGTATTTCATCCACACACATGAGCACAGGGCATGGGATGCAGGCAGTGAAATGTACGCATATGATGCAAGTCGCCAACACACAGGAAATGGACATTAACAAGGGCAGCACAAGTTTAGTGGGTACCTGACATGATTTCGATGGTAACATCATTCATGCCAATGTGGCACGTTTTAAATGGTCTCAAAACTGTCCTGCTACAGTCTCCATATACCAATACCTATGTCCATTGTTCCACCCCACTACAAGAATGGTTTGCACTCATGCTGGAGGTCATTCTCTCATTGGTGGCTGCCAAGCACCACGACACCTGTTGGCCCCACAAAAAGAATAAAGAACAAAGAGAAGACTGGCCATCACAACCCTTTCTGCCATGAGAGATGAGAGATGGTTGTATCTGGGAGCTGGAACAGCAGCGACGCGGCTACTCCCTGCAGTTCCAGGAATGCATCTGCGGGCCACATCCCAAAATGCCTTCCAAACTGCCTTGCCTTAGATGCACAATCACTGCTGGCCAGGCTCTAGTGCACTGCCAAGGTGTCAGCTCCGCAGCGCAGCTCCTCTGGACCGCAGCAAAGGTGGACTGCCTTCGCACCAGGCACCACACCATCTGCCCCAGGAAGGAAGTGCAGCTCTGCCAAAACGCCATTCCTCTCACCCCATGTTGTACTGCCCCACTGCCAACGCTGTGGTCAGGAGACCAAACACCAGGAAGGGCTGCGCGGACGCCTGGTACTTCACGTCGTTGGCGACGGGGTCGGGGATGAAGTACTTGAACTGGAAGAATATCTGCGGCAGGATGAGTGCCAGGAGGATGAGAGCCTTGGTCTCGTCGTGCAGCCCCCAAGCGATGTAGGCCGCTACGCACAGCTGCGTGGCGTCGATGCTGCCCACGCATATCCACTTCGCCTTCTCCACGCCGAAAGCCACGGGCAGTGACTCCAGACCCATCGCCCTGTCGCCCTCGATGCTCTTGAAGTCATTCACGATGGCGATCCCCAAGCCAGCGATCGAATACAGCACGGTGAGCACCATGACGTCCAGGGTGAGCGTCCCGAACACGGCCTGGCCGGCCCACCAGGGCAGGGCGATGTAGGAGGACCCCAGCGCGTAGTTCCCGATCCACCCCGACTGCTTCAGCTTGAGCGGCGGTGCCGAGTAGATGTACGAGATGAAGCAGCCAAAGAACGTCAGGGCCGTCACCACGGGGAAGTCGTGCCCGGACCACTTGTCCAGGCCGTAGGCCACGCCCACGCCTGCCAGTAGCAGGACCCAAATCTGCGCGATCACCTCCCAGGGCGCGATGGCGCCCGAGGGGATGGGCCGGTTGGGCTCGTTGATGGCGTCGATCTCGCGGTCGTACCAGTCGTTCATGGTCTGCGTGTAGCCCGTCAGCAGCGGCCCCGCCAGTACCATCGTCGCCAGCGACCGCGCCACGTCGTTGATGCTCCACTCGTACTGGCCAGAAGCCGCGGCGCCGCACACCACGCCCCAAATCAGCGGCACCCAGGTCACCGGCTTGGTCAGCTGCAGCCGGATCTTCCACTTGTCCGTCTCCTTGCTGCCGCCCCTTATGCCCAGCAGCTGGGCCGCCGCCGACCCCTCGCTCTCCAGTTCAAGCTCGCCCGCCTGGCTCTCCTTCTCCGCCTGTTTCTGGGTGTCCTGCACGGCGCGGACGGTGCCGATTCTGGGCCATCGGGCCCGCGCACCTCTCCGACAGGGGGTCAGGGGGAGGGCTTTCGGCCGGTGGGGCGACGCAACCGCACCCGGACGCCCCTTGGCCGGTCGGTGGGCGAGCATGGCGGAGATTGGGCCGTGGGCGACGGGCGTCGGGGGCCACCATCAGGAAATCGTTCGGGCCCTTTTTGCCCAAGCCCCCCCCGCGCGCTGACGCCCTTTTGAGAAAAGAATGATGCCCCGGGGCACACGTTTGGGCAAATGCCCGGAAACGGCGCCAATCCGACGGCAGATGGTGGCGTGAAGTTGGGGGTGGGGAAATGGCCGGCGTGGCCGGAAGGCGCTGCTGCGAGTCGTCGCGCGGCACCCGTTCGTTCGCTTGGCCTGCAGCCCTCGGGACAATAAGGGGGTCTTGCACCCTTGGCGAATGAGGCGTGGGACGCTGACCCGCGACTCCCACCGATCTGCGCGAAGCGGGGCCCGAAGCCATGAACCAATCCGACCTGCACCCCAACGGAGACTGGCTTGAAGCTGAGGAGGTGGGTGTCTATCTGCGCCCGTGTCGCGCTTTGGCCTCTCTGGATAGACGCATGCTGTTGATTGTGCTTGGATTGACTGCTCCACAGCGTGGAGGCTTGCGCGTCAGCGATTCCAAAGCGAAGGGTACCCACCTGGCGTCCCGCGCGATCTTTGGCGTCCCAGACCGAGAACGTTGATTTGCGCTGGAGGAGCGCCGCGATCTGAGTCCCAATACGGGGCTCCCTCTCCCGCCAATCGCTTTGATCAAGGGATCTCCAGGATTGTCTCCCTCGATAGCCGTCCTCGCTGACCGATTCACGCACACTGCACTGCCCGTCGGCGCGCTTCGCTCACACTCGCTTCGCCCACACGATGCACGCAATGCACACATTGTGCCCACCGCCAAGCGCCAGCTCGGGACTCTGCCTCTTCCAACGCTTGTAGCACATTTCTTTCCCTTCCCCCTTCCCACCCCGCATCCGGGCAAGCGCCCAAACAGGGCTTTCTTTTCCCGGCTGCGCCAGGCGGAAGGGGACGGCGTCGCCGTCGGCTGGCGCCACCTGGACATCGACCTCCTGCACGGCGTGTGCGACGCCCTGGCCTCCAGGCTCGCCTGCCCGCGCGCCCTCAAGGCCGCCCGGCGCGTCAGCCGCCACTGGGAGGCGGCCGTCAACGCCCACCTTACCCACCTCTGCCCCCCCTCGGAGGTGGATGCCCGCGGCCTGCGCGCCCTCCCCGGCAAGTTCGGCTCGGTGACGGGCCTGCGCCTGAGGGACGTGACCGACGAGGGGCTGGCCGCCCTGGGGGTCTTCCCTGGCCTCAAGGCACTCCGCCTCGAGTACTGCCGGCGTGTGACGGAGGGGGGGATAGGCGCGCTGGGGCGCCTGACGACACTGGCCGACCTCCGGCTGCTGGATTTCAGGGCGTACACGCGGCGGTCAAGCAGGGCAGCGTGCGCGATCCAGACCGGCCCGCAGGTGCTGTCCCGGCTGGTCGGCCTGGCGCATCTGGACGTGGAACTGTGCTGGCCGTTCGCGGACGGCGGCCTGCTGTGCCTGACGGCCCTCACGCGGCTGTCCTTCCTCAGGCTGCTGGGCTGCGACGCGGTGACGGTCGAGGGGCTGGCATCCCTGGCGCGCCTGTCCCGCCTGGAGAGCCTGGAGCTGGGCGCCGGGCTGCACGGCCGCTGCGGCGGGATCACGAACGCCTCGGCCCAGGTGCTCACCGCCCTGCGGGGGCTGCGGCACATCGGGTTGGTGGGGTGCGCGATCGACGGCGGCCTGCAGTGCGCCGCGGAATGGCCGAACCTCACGTCGGTGGACCTCAGCGACTGCCCGGCCGTGCGGGGCGTGGGCATACGCGGCCTCTCCGCCATCCCCGCGCTCAGGGAAGTGCGTCTCAGGCGCACGCTGAAGGCCCACCTGTTGAGTGATGACGACCTGACGCCCATCACGTCGCTGACTTCGCTCACGCTCCTCGACCTGGCGGACGCCCGGAAGCTGTCGAACAGAAGCATGGCCACGGTGGGTGGCCTGACTTCGCTGAGGCATCTAGCTCTGCAGGGGTGCAACAATGTTGATGACCTGGGTGTCGAGTGCCTGACGACCCTCCAGGGGCTGCAGTACCTGGACATTGGCATGGTTTGGGCCATTTCAGACAGGGGCATGAGGCACGTGGGCTCGCTGCAGGGCCTCACCTTTCTTCGCGCCTCCGGTCTGCTTGGGGTTGGCGACCCCGGGTTCCGGCACCTGCTGCAGCTCAAGTCTCTGAGGTACCTTGCGGTCAACGCCTGTCCCAGGATGTCTAATGTGGGTCTGCAGTACATTGGCGGCATAACATCCCTCACCCTCCTGGATCTTGCGTGCTGCACCAGCCTAACCAACTCTGGCTTGGAGCACTTGGCGGGCCTTTCGTCCTTGATGGAGCTGAACCTCGCCGCTTGCCAAGGCATCGACAGCGCTGGCGTGCAGCAGCTGCAGACGCTTGTGGGCAACGAGGACCTGCTGGTGATGGGCCCCAGCCTTCTAAGTTACTTGGGGCGCAGCGGCAGTTTCCCATTTCGGTAGGGCAGCAGAATCGCGTTCTGGCCAGCAAGGAGACGGCAAGTGAGTACTTTTCTTGGCTTGAGAACGGGTAGGGCAGGGGAGAGCAGGGAGGATCTTCAGTTGCAGACACAGCAGCACTCCACGTATAGATTCGAAGCATGCAAAGTTGGCGTGTGGGACACTGGTATCGCCAGACTATCACAATTACAAGGTGAAGGAGATGATCACAATAATTACGTCCATTTCGTTCCACAGATCTGTGGGCGAGCTGGGCTAGGGAACTGCCTTTGCCCAGTACCTAGTGGGTGGAGACAACACCCTTAGACTCTGCACTGGAGACTGCAGATTGAGATGCTCACTCTGCTCGCAGGGATGGGCACCACAATGGTGGAGAGCTGTCCCTTTGATCACTGCAACAATAGCATCAGCAGCAGTTTCTCACTTCAAAGCAGTGCAGGAACTCCCTGTTGAGAAGAATGCTGGGATGTCACCACTAACTGGACACAAGTGCTCTGAGGGATCATGCCACTCAGGGGTATTTATTTCCCTGCCCCTCGCAGAAGTTTCTCTCTCACCTTCGCTGAGTGGAAAAGAGTCTCAAGAGTGTTGCTCGCAAGGTGAATGCCGTTGTATTGCCTGCTTGCTTCGCTCATTAGGATTCATTGCAGAGCTCGTGTCAAGGTTGCTGTCCAGGTCCAGGGCATTCGTGGAGTTCCAGGGCAAGGGACCATTGCCGTGGACGAGAGAGACAGAAACCTGCAGTGCCCGAGAAAAGCAGTAAGAACATCAAAGGTTCGCGTCGTTCATTCTGGCACCATCGACAGATCTAGCACAGGCGTTGTAGGTCGCAACGCACCTTCCACGCGCCATTCCCTTCGTGCTATACATTCTTGCCGTTGTGCCTGCGTCCAATACCCCAACAAGAGCCGTGCCTGGATTTGTGCTGCTCAAGCAGGGATTGCTGGGGTCCTGAGACTCCAGGCTCAGGTTTCAGGGGTTTGGCAAGGTACCAGCAATTGCACCCACTCTCAAGGTTACAGGGCTCCACCAATTTGTTGTATTGCCTTCAAAAACATGCCGAAGAAATTGCTGTCCAGCCCAATACAAACGTCGCTAGCTCACTCCGTGAAACACAAGAAGTCCTAGCCTCATCCATCGAAGCGCATTACTTCCCGCCCCAAGCCTTGCATCAAAACTTTGGTTGTTGATACGCAGATTACCTGAAATTTTCAACACTATACAGCCGCCTGACTTCACCTTGAGCCAATGCAACTCCAAGATGAGGAGGGACACTTTTGGTTAATGGCTTATGCTCAAAGCCGATATCAATTTCTAGCTGACACATTTCCCAATTGTGTATTCTTCTGGGAACGCCAGCTGAGAGCCTCTCAGGGTCGTGGCTTCTGTGGGGCTGACCAGAAAGAGGGAGAACGTGTTCTCACTGGTTGCCTCCACAATCCTGATTTGAAAAATCGTTGGCATCAGTTGTGCTGTCCGTTGCTGCTGCTGCTCTCAAGAGATTACCACGTTGATCCCACCAGGGCTGTGGGGACTAGTTTGATTTTGACCAGTGTGAGGCGGGAGTGGGATGCCCAGGTTGGGGCCACATCATGGGGTCTAAGTGCTGGCACATTCCTCATTTCCTTTTCCGTTATTCCGGCTCACATTCGCTGTTCAGATTGCATGGGTGCTTTTCTGGGGGACTTTGCCGCCACATTTCACGAGGTGCAACGGATGGCATGGCGAACGAGGATTTGAGGATTTCGAACAATCCTTGGACATCGTTGTGGCCATCATCGCCTGCAAGGTGCAAGGGCTCTGGTTGCCGGATTTCTTTCCAGGACATCATTCCAAGAATCGATGCCGCTGTTAACGTCAAATTGGCGCTACGCTCACACTTTTCACACCTTCCCTCTTGTCAATGTCAACCGTTTCGTCGATGCCACATCACAATCCACGCTGGGAAACCCGACCTGGATCCCATCCCCGATTGGTCTCCCAGTTGCTCATTGTGGTGACCGAGGTGAACGGACCGACGCTACTCTCTGGCACAACTTCACCACGCGTTAAAGCTATCGCACTGGCTGTGGAGATGCTACAATACGAGCTTCTTCTGTGTCTTTGCTCATGCCAGCTGCGAGCTGAACATTCTGGGAAGCTTCCGGACCAAACATGGATGGCTTCAGCTTCTTGCCTGTGACCACGTTCGCGCCAATTACAGTCCTGAGCGTCGCGGCTTTCTTTGCAGAGCCACACGAGTAGGCTTGTAATTCCGCGTCCAACCGAAGGGGATACTGGGTTCCTCGGGGGAGCATGATGCTGAGGACGTCTATGCCCAATCAGTTGCTATGGGGTGACACCGAAAACAACGGTGTCAAGGTTCAAGTATCCAGCCCAATACTGTCGAGCATGGGGTGTACCAACAAGCAAAGCCCATCATCGAAGTTAGAACGCCATTACAATTCGAGGAACTATCTCCCTCTCCCTCCAGCCCGCCCTCCCACACGCCCACCAAACATGTGTACTCAAAACTTGACAGGGCGCCCGCGACGCACTCCTGGCTCGCTTAAAATTTGGCTTGCGCTTCTTGGCAACACCATGCCGCTTCTTTTGTGTACAATGGCAAACTGCCGCTGATGCTGTACGCGGGAACGACAGGCTCCCATGGATCACAGGGCATCCTACAATCCCTGCCAATCGAAGAGACTCCAGAATCCCAAACCTGCTTTCAATCTTCTCACTGCATACCCAACACAAAGATCTCAAGCCCCGGCCGAATAGATCACGACAGCTGACCATACCACAAACCGGTGATCTTCACGTCCTTGGGGACCTTGGAGCCAAGGTCAGTGTCTGAGGGCTGGATGCTCTCAAACACGCCCACCACCTCGCCAGTGGCACTGTCCACCTGGGCCACAGAGAAAGAGGCGGTGCCCTTGCTTGAGGCTGTGGACTTGATGTTCTCCCGCACAAGTTCGTCAGAGTCACCACGAGCGGGCAGGGCGACAGCCGTGTCATACCCGGTGGAGCCACCACGCCCCTGGTTGCACAATAAGGCTGCTCAGAAGTGACCCAAGAGCTCAATCTGCTGTGCTGCAGACAGGAGGATCAACAACAACCCCTCCAAAAAGTTATGAGTTGTGATATGATTTTTTGTGCTGCTGGAAGCAGGTCAAACAGCTACAGCTGGGCCAAGGACTGTTGTTCGGACATTTCCCACGGTCAAGGCCGGGTTGCCAAGCAGGGGGTTTCAAGTGCTCTCTTGGGGTGGAGTTCCTCAACTGCACCGTGAACTTGACGCATTCCCTCACAGTCATGGACAAAGACCACAACCAACGTAGGTGTCTTCCTTTTGCAGGGCTTGACATGCCAATACAACCCACTATGCAAAGGGTTGGCAGAAGTATCAGCATATCTGAAATGGTCGAAATCAGCCCATAAACAACACCCCGCACCATTTGCTGTGCAAAGCGAGTTCCAACGTTCATGAGCTGGATGTGGCTTCATTCAATTCTTTTTGACCGATACATTTGAGTAGTCGTTAAGAGCATCTTTATCGGTCGGTGCTATTGCACCGGCGGAGCTATCCAGGAACGGTTCTCATTGGCTGCCGTGCCACCTTACTAAGGTGGCATTTGCCGAATAGTACCGGTGCTATTGCTCCCCTGCGCACATCCGCAATGGTGGGTGCTATGCCTACACCGAATAGCATCACTGCAGCACTACAATGTTCTGCGCGATTAGCACCGGTGCTATTCCCGGGTGCTAATCGGCCCCGAGCGGTGCTATTCGCGGCCAAAATAGCACCGCTCGGTGCCGAATAGCTCCGGGGGTGCTATAGGGGTGCGCTATTGCTCCTCAACCATTAATGATGGTTTTTGACGTGCGAAGCTATTCGGATAGCCGAATAGCTCCGCCGGGACAATACCACCCACCGATAAAGATGCTCTAACGATGCCATCTGCGACTTTAATTGGCAACACACTGACTTGATTGTCAGTCAAGCTCCATTGTGCCAAACTGGATGTTGCATTCCCCCCACCTTCGGGTCCAAGAAGGATGATCCCCTGTAGGATGGGACAGTGAAGTCGCCGATGAAGCCATCCAATGACCCCTTGGCGTTCAACTCCTTCAGGGTAAAAAGGAAGGGCACACGCTCACCGCCTGGGAGCTGCACAGTTGCTGGGGCAAAGTCAATACCCTCGTCGGCCTTCTCGAAGGAAACATCACCACTGCCGCCAACGGTGAACTTGCCCTTCAGCTGAGGCACAATCAAACAATGTGTCAACACGTAAGTTAGCCGATGCTCATTGGAAAAAAACTCATAGTCAATACAATGTATCACACATGGCGATCTGTTGCTCAATTGGACCATGAACACCAACTGGCACTGCCCCCAGTGCCCCTATTCGATGTCGAGATGCACATGAGCGAAGAACCACAAGGGATTGTTTGCGACGCCCGAATGACAATGAATTTTCGACAGTAAAACTTCCACCCGCATGGTGATTGGCCGTCCTCTGGCACTGACACTGGTCTTGGATCGACAAAGGCAGGCATTGAAATCCCTCACAAAGCTGTTGCTGCCCAGCTCCGAGGGGCCTATCTGCTCCCTGTCTGTCCCCAGTCCTCCACAAGGGGACTTACCCCTTCCAGTGTGTAGGTCAACCGGGTCATGAGCTTCGTATCCACAAACTCAGTTTCGCCAGCCCTGAACTGGGACTCCTCCTTGACCTGGATCTTGGTGGGCTCGACGCACATGTTCTGCAGGGTGTAGGTTCCAGACTTGATTGACTTGGGGTCCCCGCCGTTGGCAAGGGTGGGGCAATTGTTAGCGATTCCCGTGCCCTTGACCTGGAGGTACGACAGCCCCTGGATCTCGTCCACGGTGAGAGCGTTGGCGGCCTTGGCAACAGCAGCACGCCCACATCATCAGCACACGCGTACAGGGGCTTTGTTGCTACGTCCGAACTGCCATCGGATGCGTTGAACGCATCTCAACGCGTGTGCACACACGACACACGCCGGTTGGCCCCTTTCGCCATCACGAACACGCCTCAAAGACAAGCAGCAAACCTTTTGAATGCGTGGGCAGCGATGATGCGGTGGGGAGGGCAAATACCGCGCCGAGCAAGGGACGGCCAATGCGCTGGGCATGGTGTAGATGCCAAAGCGCCATCAGAGATTGAACAAGGACGGGATGGCCGCGTCCCTCAGAGGCACAAGGCCGTCGGAAAATGAGCGACAATCACTCACCCCGGCAACGAGAGCCGTTGCAGCCACTGCTGCAGCGGTCTTCGCGACATCCTTGGCCTTGTCGGTGGCGTTCTGCGCCGCGCACACCACCTTGGCGGGCCTGGACACAAAGTGGCAGCGTGATTCTAGCCGATGGGAGACAAAGATACCAGGATGAGCGCAGATGCTCTGAACTGGGGCAGAGCGAATCTCGGGCCACAAGGCGCGTTTCTGAGCCCTGCGCAAGCCGCCCAAGCCCATACAACGCGGCAACACTTGGCGAACAAAGCGAATGGGCGCATTTGTCGCCAAGCATCCTCGCGGGGCAACTTCTGCGCCGATCAGCGATCTGGATCGCGCCCAAGGAACGCTGGTCGATGCCAATGGCAAGATTACAAGATGGCGAGGTAGCTGGGCGGCTGGCGAGAATGAAGCGGCTCGTCGGGGCGGCAGCGGCCAAATCGACCCGCACCTGGAGCTCCGTGAGGCCTGAGCCCGAGGGGCCGTCAGGGCCATCATGCTGGAGGAGACGGAGAACGCCATGGCGCGGTGTGGGGCGGGGGGCAGAGGAGGAGGGGGGGGGGGGGGGGGGGGGGGGGGGGGGGGGGGGGGGGGGGGGGGGGGGGGGGCAGGGGGGCCGCGGCGGGGCCGCGCAGGGGGGGTGGGGGCCTTTTTGATGCGGTGATCTGTGGGTGGGCGGGTAATCTCCCAACGTGTCGGTATCTTGCGGCGCCACAAAAGGCTGGGCATGCATGATGCCAGATCTGGAGGGAAAATGGCACTGTGTAAATGGGATGGTAGGGGACCACCGCAGTACAGGTGGGGGGTGGGTGTTTAGCGACCCCCTGAAGAACTTGTCACCGTTCCCGTAGTACTGTATTTGACTGCGATAGGCCCCTGCACCCGCGACTTCGGCGCTGAGACAAAGTTGCTGGCAACAAAAGCCAGCATGGGCCCGGTAGGCCGGGTGTACCCCCTACACCGGCGGCCAGGGTACCCATTACCCCAGCGGCTTGGGTACGCCCTACACCGGCTGCCAAGGTACGCCCATACACTGGCAGCCAGGGTACCCTCTATACCGGTATCCAAGGTACCCCCTACCACCAGTGGCTGGGGTACCCCTTACACCGGCGGCCAAGGTACCCGTACACTGGCGACCAGGGTACCCTTTACACCAGCTGCTTAGGATACCCCCCTTAACCTGGTGGCCAGGGTGCCCCCCAACACCCTCATATAGGATAGAGAGAATCGAAGCACGCAGTGGGGGGGGGCATATCTAGCGGTGTTTGGGGAAGTGCACGGAACGCCTTGTGGGACTTGAGCTACTGCTAAACTGCGTCAAGTACTGCGGAAGCACTTAAAATACTGGGGGGAGACCCCTCAGCCGGCTTGTCACGGTCGCCAACCCGAGCCCCCCTCCCCCCTTTTTACCCACTTCCAAGGGTCGGGTCTGCTGGACAGGACCCTCTCCACGCCCGGACATGCAAACTGGCTAAGTGTATTAAAAATTCCGTACATTTTCATCAGTGATACGTCCGTACAAAGCCCATGACCCTCACACTCAACTGATCAAATTTGTCAAGTACTAGTACTGTGATATTTTCTGCTTCGGCATTTTGAAACTTTGCGCTTGGCAGTTTTACTCCTCAGCATTGTGGCCAATCAGCTTCAGCCTATTCTTCCGTCGCTGAGGGTCGTGGCTGGATGGGCTGCACGAGGAGAAGAACAGGCTGGACGCAGCAGCAGCCGGCATAAAGGCTTCCATTTTGTCAGTGTCAGAAGTCGTGCCAAATCACTGGCTTTGGAGAGGATCAGCCAGCTGCGGTGGCCGACGAGTGCAGTTCAAAGGGCAGTGGATGAGCAATCATGGTGGGTTCAAGCTCAACTCAGCAAGGGCGCAGACGCGTTGGCCTTGGGGAGGGATGCAAGGAGTCCCCATTGATTGGATTGCGACTGCATCGCCCAGCGTTCGCTCACCTTGTTTACGTCCTCCTCAGTGCTGGCAGGACCTAGATAGCCCCTGAGCTCAAGTGCAAGGACTATTGTCCACGGATTGTGAATTGGAAATTGTTGCTTCACATTGTTAAACAAGTGTTGTGCTCCTCATTCTCCTCACAAGCGCTGGTTTCACATGTTTGTCTCTTGGCAAAATAGAGCGAACAGCTGCGTCCCTTATGCCGATGGTTGAAAAATTGTACAATACGTCATGCCTAATTCTCAAAACCGGACTCAATGTGCAAGGGGTAGGCAGGTGGGACAGAAAACAAGACAAATGGTGGTCCTTGGGCACCCCATTAGTAGTGAGGCTGCCTGCCAAGCAAGCCTGCCAAGACGGCCCATCAGAATGCAAGCCTTGGATCTGTTTGATACTCGGGCCAAGAGTCCAACAAATGCATTCGCCCACGTTCGAAAACTGTTAGCACAACAACGAATGCAACTGCCTTGGGGGCCGGCTCTCAGAAACAAAGCAGGCTACTGGTACTACCCAGAGTGCACGGCACATCTCAAGCGCCCACGAAGACGTCTCACCCACGTCTCCCAAGACGGAAACTCATAAAAAATATCAAATAACAATTCTGGTTCGACGGCTTGATATGGAGTGTTTGGGGGAGGGTGCAGAGTATGTGCAAGACACCCCCATACATTGAATGACTACATCCCTCTCATGCAATCCATCACTTCTGTGATTTGCAACGTGTTCTTGCAATTAGCAAACCCAGTGTTGTACCTGTCAACTTCCTGAGTCCATGCTGTAAAATGTGGCGTCACCCAGTCAGTCCCTACATGTCAGTCATGTACCATTCGTTGAGGTGAGTTGCAGCCACCAACATAACACAGCCAAGGCATTAACATCGCTACACCAGTTACAACCCTGTGCACGACCTGAAATTTCGCAGCCACGCCCATAGGGCGTTTACATATGCATTGTCAATTTTCTGCATCCGCCAGCTGCAGATCATCAACGCAACATCTGATGCAACATCTGTTGCTGCGGTGCATGCATCACGATGTACAAGAGCTCTCTCAGGTTACACATCCCCATAACATGTTGAAAACCCGTTTTAGGCGAAGGACAGGCTGCTGACGTCTAATCGGTTGCCAGCCACAAAGCCTCTCAAGGATTCCCTGCTGGCTGGCGGAAACAACAGCACCCCGGCACCAGCCCCGTGACAACCTGTGGAAGTCTGGTGTGAATGTGTTCCCATATATACAGTTCCCCCCCCCCCCCTCCCCACCATACAAGCAGAAGAAAAAAAACGAGAGCCGCAGGGCAACCTTGTGACGTTGCACTCAGCTCTTCCCTATCATCATTTCAACGAATTCCTCGTAATCTATCCTCCCATCGTTGTCCGTGTCCACCACAGCCAGAATGTCCTCGATGTCCTTGTCAGTGTTACCATACAACTTGAGCCCCTCCTTCAGCTCGTCCTTGGTAATGTACCCACTGTTGTCTGTGTCGAAGTGCTCAAAGGCTTTCATCAGCTTCTCGTCGTTCTGCAGTTTGAACAGGTTCATGGTGGCCGCAAGGAACTCATTGTAGTCCAAGACGCCATTCTTGTCCACGTCAATGTTGCTCATCAGACTCTCCAGGTCGGCGTCTGGCAAGAGAGCCCCCTTCTTCTGCAGGCCCTGACAAAGGCAGCAAAACAAACGCACAGGTGTCAGTGCGGTGCCTCTCTCCCTTGCCACAGTCTTGTTTTCAGCACAGGAGCACTACACTGGCGCCCTGCAGGCCATGTGATTATGGGGTGCAGACACATCTGGAGAACTACTAGCATGGGGCACAGAATCTACACTCTCCAGCTTAGGAAGTCTGATTCGCATTTGCACAGCGTGGCATGTGTCACCGCCCCATGCATGCTGTCCCTGAGCTCGTGCAGAATGGGATATGCAGCCACATCAATTACTGTCTGGTGCATATTGCCCAGCCGTTCCCTTGGTTGCAGCGAATGGCAGTACATTGTCTGTTATGGATTAAGGTCCTCAATGCACAATGACAATCAAGCTATCTTGCAAGAAAGGAGTAACCACTGACATCCCTTTGCTGAGGACAACACGCATCATGTTACCCAGGACAAAGCAGGGAAAGAAGAGTGGCGACCACAACATGCTGTGTGAACATCCATTTTCGTGACTTTCCACAGTAGAGGGTGTGTTATTGTACAACAAACACAGTAACACCAGTCTTCCACAAACACAAACTGCTCCAACTTCAGCAGCATGCAAAGACATGAGCGCTTGCACAAAAGACCATGGTTGGCAGATTTCATCCCTGCTTCTTCCTGCTATTCTTGATTGTCTTCGCCTTTGACATTATGTGACCTGCTTGGTGGCCAGGGCTGGGATTCGCTCCTCAACCGCAGCAAAAGTTCGTAGTGGCATAAGTCAACAGTCAAACACCAGGCAAGCAAAATGCTGAGCTCATTCATGTGAAAGACCACCAATCTCCCAAAGAAGAGGGTTGCGAATAGCTCGTCTTGAATTCGGCAAGACAACCTGATGAAGCACGCATGGCACCCCTAAGATGATCAGAAGAATTTGAACAGGATGCACACCTTTCTGAGCTCAGCAACCGTGATGGTCCCACTGTTGTCAGTGTCTATACTGTGGAACAAGTGTTTCAGGCCCTCAATCTCCTCCTTTGGTAGGTTCATGGCGATGACTTTCAGGGCCTCCTTCTTCAACTTGTTCATATTTGCAAACTGCTGGATGCGTGACAGGACAGCATTGTCAAGTGGTTTGTCACTTGCGATGCCATTCTCCTTCAGCCACTCGTGCCTCAGGATCTCCTCTGCAGAGGCCCGCTTTCTGTCAAACAAGAACAGGCGAGCAAAAACTGAGCAACGGCCACACAGGACAATGGGACTTCACTTGCCCTAGTTTGAATGCAATGCTAGCTTGTATGAAAACGCTCACAAGTGCCACACACAAGGTAGGGCTTCAGAATCGCAAAGACCAGTTCCCTCCAGGTGGGGATCTTGCACTCCAAGAGGATCATGAATTGTTGGAAGCCATTTAAGACATCAATGCATAACTGATGGTGCGCTCGCATTCCAACAGTTGCCAGAGCGCTGTACCCACTGGGAGGCCTGTTTGCAATCGGCTTTCTTGTGTGTGTGTGTTGAGCAGGTGTGGATCCAGATATACTTTAAAACCCACATGAAACATACCAGACAATGGTGCACCCCTTTTAAGCAAGCACATTAGCAGTTCTACAGGTGGCACCACAGGCATAATGGTATTGAAAGCAAGATGCAATCATTGTGTTCGTGTGTGCACATGCGATTGTGCAACAAGGGGGATTCTCATGCACAGCCCTGTGTAAACAATGAAAACAAGACAAAACAATATTTGTACAGTGACTGTTGACAGTATACACATCCACACGCTTCAGATCTGTAGGAAAAGTAAAAAAGGTCAATGAAGCAAAATAATAAGCACAGAACAACCCAATCACCTCCCATACAAGCGAATGAAGCTGGCCCAACGTTCCAGGCCATTGCACCACAAGATGCACAGAACTGTCCGGGCTTGAGCTCACAGGACAGATAACGAAGCCTGAATGCCACCCTAGTCCCCTGAATGTACCTGCAGCTTGAGCAACTCCACTAAAAAATCAACACAAATGGAGTGGCTTGTGAATATGCCTACAACAGCCATGGCATAAGCACGAAGCCAGTGCAAAACTGAGTACTACGTGGTCACAATTCAACAGTGGAAGCACAGCCACTGCCTCCCTGGACAGGGGCTGCTGGCTATGGTAGCAAAGCGGAACCAGTACATAGAGGGCTGTGCTCACTTGGGGCTGCTGACCAACATCTTCTCCACGCAGTTCCTTGCTGCGGCAGAGATTTTTGGCCAAGGTTCGCTACTAAAGTCAGGTTCCCCACGCAGAATGGCATCAAAAATTTGATTCTCTGTCTCGCCGTAGAATGGTGGCACGCCACACAGCAAGATGTAAAGGATAACCCCACAGCTCCAAATGTCCGATTCCTTCCCATGATTCTTTCGCAGCACCTCAGGCGCCACGTAGTATGCACTGCCCACAATCTGACTGAGGATCTGGGGAGTTGCACCACAAGCACAGCTGGTTTACAAGCCACTTCGAGCGACATTTAGCAGCCTTGCAAATGAAAAATGCAGAGAGGCAATCCAGGCACAGCACTATGCTCAGGAAGTACCTAATCTCAACAGGGAGCATCAAGGACAATCCACACACCACAGACACTACACTTAGATAGCCCATTCCATTGTGTGGCTGTGCAGCTGATCAAAACGGTGGAAGCACATATACAGGCTGCTTCACACGATTACAGTGTCAATTTGTGGTGGAACAGATGCAGGAAGGGCACACCGTTCTCACATACCCATACTTTATTCCATGTCCTGTGGGGGCTGAAGAGTCTCCAAGCAACTCTTGGCCAGTGTTGCAAGAAGCAATAGGTAATGGCATGCCATTGAGTTGTTCACCACAAGTGCAGCAGCGACTAGACACTGTTCCAACAAACTGGCAACTGACAACGAGAAAAGCAATATGCAGCTGACACCCCCCAAGAGGTGAGAGGGCGATGAACTGTTGTGCTTCAATCACGAATGTATTCTATGCAGGTCCAAACAGAAAAACAGAAGGCAACACAAAATAGTCACCTCGCCCTCACTGAAGAACACTGACAACCCAAAGTCGATGGCCTTCAGCGCACAGTCGTCCCTCTCGTTCTCCAGCAGAAAGTTCTCAGGTTTCAGGTCGCGATGGATCACTCCCATCTTGTGGCAGTGGTCAACCACCTGCACCATGGTTCGGCACGCTGTGGCAGCATCCTTCTCTGTGTAGTGCCCCTTGGCCACAATCCTGTCAAAGAGCTCTCCCCCCGTGCAGAGCTCCATGACCAGGTGGATGTAGTGGCGATCCTCATACACGCCCTTCAGCTGTACTATGTTCGGGTGGCCAGCCAAATGGTGCATGATCTGTTCAAAGCCAATCAAACGATCAAGGTTCCACGCCGCTACAACACCAAAGAACACAGCTGTGTCATGGCCCAACACAAGGGTGTGCCATCTGGCATCCCAGGGAAGTTCGCTGCAGGCTTCAACACACCAGCCGCTTAGCAAATGGCGTGACAACTGGCCAGAAAAAGCAAAGCAGAATCCCCTCACAACAACACGTGCATTGAAACCCAAGTGAAATGATACTTCTAACTTCAAGTTCAATATTCAAGGTCGGGCTACATCCACACAGACCACGAAACCAGCGCATGAGGCACCACAAGCCACAAACAAGATGGGTACAAAAGGAGGGAAGAGAAACAGAATGCTCGAGTTGATTTCCACCTTGACAGCTGCCCATATTCCATGTTTGCCATGGTGGATAGTCTCCACCACCCCGTGCAACCGCGTCACACATACAGGCGGCAGTCTCCACACATAGAAAACTGGCGCCTGATGCCAACAGGCCATACACCGGGACCAGACAAGAAAAACGGAGGTGTTTGCCCATTCCCTGCTGAAAGCAGCTGAGTGCAGCAAGCAGCACGAACAAAAGAGCCAACCTCTATTTCGCGCTTGACATCGTCAATGTCATCGGCGTGCGTCATCTTCCTTTTCGAGATCGACTTGCACGCCGCATTCTCTTTGGTCTTCTTGTTCGTGCATATCCGGGTGATGCCAAACTGCCCTTGGCCAAGCTTCTTGCCCAGCTCCCATTGTGTGGTGATGTCCTCAGTCTTTTGCTCCAGGAAGCGCCGGAACGACTTCTTCCCCTTCGGCGCAGAGGTCTGCGCCGCCTGCAAACACAGCCGCCCGACCTCAGACGTCCCTCCCAATTCCGTCGCCATCAAAATAGACTCTCCCGCCAGCGGTGCCGCATGGATAACCACAAAAAACGGGCGACTGAGCGAACAGGTGGGGGCCGCCAACGGGCCATCAACCACGAGCAGCTTTCGGCAGCCGAGTGCAACCAATGTTCGAGCCTTCCGCGCAGCCAGAAACTTCCACGGTAAGACCCCACAGGTCCACACTCTCGCGAGCCCAGGCAGGAATGTCGCCACGCGGTGGGCCCCAGGTTTGCCAGGGGCTGCGCGGATGGACGGCGAGGCCACCGCCACCGCCTTTCCCGCATCACCCCGAGGCAGCACTCTGGGCACGGCGCCCCTCCGAGGCGTCCCGAGCCTCAACATGGCCGGAGCGCGGTACACTCGAGGCGGCATCCGATTACGAAACGACCCGCTAAGGCGCGCCAACCGTCGAGGGGTAACAGGGCGCGCAGGATGCCGAGAACCGCTCGAGCACTCGCCTATCAACGGAAGCCGGTGAAGCCGCGCGGAAGGGCGCGATCGGCGAAAATTCCCCGGGCGGCAGCTCGCATCCCCGTGAAGGCCGGGCCGACGGCCCCCGCGCCCGCAGCAGAGACGGGGCGTCGCATTCTGGGGAACCCTGCGCGCTGCGCGGCCCCAGGGCACGGGATGCTGATGCTCTCGGCGCCGGGGACGCGTGGGCCGTTGGCCGCACGCGTAGCGGCCCAAACACCCCGGGCGTAGGCGCGAGTACCAGAAGCTACAGCGGACGGAACACAGGACAGGCACAAGCCCGGACAGGGCCGAATAAGGCGCCAATTGCCGCAAATCCCGAGCCCAGCGATCCAGCACAGGGTCCTTTCTTCCAAAGCGGCTGCCGTGCCGGTCGCCTGGCCAAGCCGCGCCCAGCCACGGGCGGCTACCCAGCGCGCAAATCGCCGCCCATTCCACCATCACGCTCAATCGGCCGACCCCCACCTCCCCGTCCCCCCCGAAAAACACCGGCAAACTGGCCCCCACTCGCCCAAAACCTCCCCCCGCCTTCATCCGCACATGCGCACGGCCTTCAGGCCACCCACCTGCGGCTGCTCGACGGGCTTGTTGCGAACCCCCTCCGCCCCGGCGCTCTTGCTGGTCTTGGAGCCCATGCAGCCCATTCCTCGCCCGTGGGTCACGGCGGGGCAGCCTCAAATGGCCCTCGGGCGCCAGGCGGGTGCGTCCGGCGCGGCCCGCGCTCGCGTGTGTGGGCGGTGGCTGGCCCGGCTGCCAGTGGGGCCAAGCTGGGATTGCTCGGGGGGCCGAAGGGGGCCGCGTGGACGTACAGGGGCACGGCCGGAGGTCCGACTGAGCCCGCGGCTTAGGGACGCTTCGCGCGGAACCAACGTGACGAACGCGGGGAGCGATGGCATTGGGCTTTTGACTGGAGTCCAGTCACTGAACTGGAAATAGAATTAACTATTGTTAAAGGAACCGCACCATCATGCATAGCACGATGGGCCTGTCCTCTTCGAAGTAAGCCAGAGAAGCGGGCATAGCTAGGCGATTGGAGGGGTCGCCAGCCCACGCGCCGGCGCTCACATGGCCAGGCGACGCGGAGTCCAAGGCGTGGTTCACAGCACAGGTTGCTGCGCCCCCAACAGGCTGGGGTGCGCTTAAAATGATCAGCCACATTCATGCGAATTTCCATCATCTGATACAATGTCCCATTTTCGACCTCTAAGGATTGTCATAATCACAAATGCCCATAAGACAATTCAACCCCGATGCCACCTCTTCACTATGATGCAGCCCACATCTGAAACATGCCACAGCTTCCCTTTCACTCAGAATTCAACACAACATGATTCTGACTACTCAGGTACCGCATATGGTCATTTCTAAACGCCCCCACTGCAAAGTGCAAGTACAACAAATCTTGCAAGGCAAAGTGAAAGTAGAGGGCGGTCACAGTGCTGTAAAGCTTCGGGAAATACACATCCGAAACTTCCCCACAACACACCCTTGCATCTTGCGGACAAGACACTATGACCAAGGCATCTCTATGTGAATTGCAGGACATTCTTTCATCAAGCTCATGTTGTCCTCAACAAACATGAGTGTGATCGAAAACTACCTCAAGAACCAAATTCAAAACCAGAATTCACTCACAGAAATGGCCAATCCGACTTTTCATAAAACATGCGCCAATCTTCAAGCAAAGGAGTATGCATAGGCTAGAAGCTCAATGCTGCACCAGGGAAAGAGACATCCTGTGTGCCCCTCTAAGGAAAGTAACATCTTGGTGGGAGTAACCTTTGCAAGTTTCATAGCACCATTTTTCTGCAACCACAGTCTTTTTTTCTTTCAATCTCAAGCAGCGATTCACGTTTTGACATGCACACTAGTCGCAAGCCATCAAGCATAAGTGATCCACCCAGTGAAACGGTGGTCATTATGCGGCTTGTTGTTTCATTTGCATGGGTAAATAATTGTCAGAACCAGTGAAAATTTTGTGGGCAGGTTTGTTATCCACAACACATGGCGTCCACAGCCTCAAGGGTGTCCCAAAGCCTTGAGGCGCCCCAAAGCACGAGGGCGTTTTGTGAATTCTGGAACATCCAACCCAGCCACTCTTAACTTCCTTCATACTTGTTGCAGCACATAGAGAATATGCAAAATCAGAGAGCTCCAGCGTGGTCGGCCAGTGGCCGGGGTACCACGCAGGAGCACCATGAGCTCAACACGGAGGGCTACTGCCTTGTGTATTTGCACTTAATAAATTTTCTTGCTGTCGCAATCTTCAACAATCTTACATATCAAAGCAAGGAGTTTCGCATAAGCTCCCTCCACATGGTCAGGCGTCAGAGCTTCGTTAACTGTAACTGCGAAGAACCCTCTCTCCCAGGAGTTGCGTTTTGGCCCGTCACTGCGTCACTCCTCTCCTCGTACAGCGGCGGTCCCATCACACACATCATACCTTGCCTCTTGCCGCTTCCCTCCGAAGAGTTCGAGCATTGTCGGACGCCCGGCAAGGTACTCCCTCGCTCCCCACCGAATCCAACGAGGGGGGCTGCAAGGCGAGGCGGGGGCTCGGAGGTTCGTCGTCGCTCCTCGCTCTCCGCCAGGGGAGCACACCTCTGCGCCTTCCGCGGGGGCCCTTGGGGCACTCTGAGGGCCGTAAGGCGGTTGACTGGACTTGTCGAGAGGTCTGGGCGCCGTGGAGGGGGCGGGGCCGAGCCGAACGGGTTGTGCCCCGACGCTGATCGCGCTTGTTTGAGGCGCCGGCCTCGTGGAGTTGAGAAAAGGTGGGGGGAGGTGTGGGCAGAGAATGGAGAGGGATCCAGTTTGCCGTCGGGCAGGGTGGTGTGGACGATCGGACTGACGGAGCACTTGTGGGAGGCCACACCACAACACGCGTCCAGTGAAAATTTTCTGTACCTGAACACGAACATCCTGATCCAAAGGCTGGTCGGACTTGCCAATGTCATGAATTCCCAACCCCCGCCACGGGGTCGCTCGAATTCTCATCATGTTCAGGATGGTGGCACGCGTAACCACGTCAGTTCTGCAACCTCAGGCGCATCCCGCCTGTCTATTGCCAGAGGCCATCCGTCGCCCTCACGCCCGGCGCACTGTGGCACGCACTGTCCCGGACTTTCCACGTGCGCTGGTCACACTTTTGCCATTTCCCCCGGGCTCACCCGAGGGTCAGTTGCCGTGCGGCTGCCTGCGTGATCGGACCCAGGCACACGATATCATACCGCTGAAGCAGGGCAGTCACGCGGCTGCTCGCTTCCACAGGTTATTCAGAGGCAGTTGTTAAGCGTTGCCGGCGCGACCGTCCCCACAGGCCGCGTCAGCTCGTCGGTTGTGACGGTGTCCATGCGCTCTGAGAAAACAGCCAACTCGGTTGTTGAAGCAGACACTCCTCGAGTCCTTACAGAGCCGCGTTTCTGCAGGTTTTCCTTTGGTACGTCAACCCTGCAACACGGTCAAATGTGCAGAGGATGTGCTGCTTCACGCGTTGTGATATCCTTGGACACCTGTTGTAAGGATCGTGAGGAGAGTGTGGGGTGGGCGTGTAGTAAGCAGTAACTTGTAGGGAGCCGAGAAAAGGAGCCAATAGCTGGGAAAACCGCAACATATCTAATTGAAAGGGGCTCGGGGTGTGAAATGGACCCAGGCAAGAGGACACACAATATGACGAAGTTGTTTTCAACGCCCATCGCTGACACCTGTTCTGGTTTTCAACTTCTGACACACTTTGATCCAGCTAGCGTTTGTGAATTGCTGCCAGTTTGCGTTTGCAGCTCTTGCGATCCTAGGCCATGGGGCCAGGACAACAAAGTGGCTGATGATTCTCATACTCTCAAAGTGCAGTGTTGCTTGTTCTGTTATGCAAGACTGTGACTTGATGAGGGAGAATCAATTGAGCGCTGCGATCATCGCGTCAACGTTACTGACGCTGCACATCTTCTGAAGCAAAGAAGTCTGTAGGCAGAGCCATAGTGACAGCACATTTCAAGCGGGTTCCTGTATCCAAGCCACCACCCAAAGGAACCTATCACCTGTCTTGCTGCTGCCTGCTGCTACTGCAAGAGTCAGTGATGTGTGATGCAGCAAGTTGTAACCTCGTATAGGAGGACATGTAGACTTGTGGCTTTCCACATGGCAGCTCCTTTCTGACGTTTTGAAACTCAGTCTTGGAGCTGTGTGCAGCCGCTGCTGCTGCTGCTTTTCATCTTCATGAGTGAAACATGAATGTTAGTCTTGGCACACTGCTGTAGGCTGCTTGAATATGCACCTCATTGTCCATTGCATTGGCTGCGAATGAAGACAAAGGTTTCCAGCTTCACCGGCCTGGAATGCTGGTTAAATCCACACACAGCAGCAGTTTAATTTGGTTCCACGAACAGGTGGTGGTTCCTTTGCTTATAAATCTTTACGATATACAGCCAGCACGTCAGTGTGCATCATATTGACTTGGGCATTGCCCAACACCAGTCAACATTTTGCGTGAGTTTCCTGCTCAATGGAAAGGCTGTGTATTCCAACAGTGTTTGGAAATTTACTCTGACACTGCTTCTGAGGCAGGCAGCTGCTTGCAGTCCAGTATATGGTCAGTGTGGATGTTCGCATCGGATGGATTTGAAAGATGGTTTTAAGGTTAAGGAGTCTTGCGATGTCTTTTTGTGTGCAAACGATGAATTGTATCTGAGACTGTCGAGTGGACGAATTTCACCTTTATGGTGAATGTGGACTGTTGAATTGCTGCCTTGCCCCTTACATCGATGGCACATAACATTGTGCAAGACTGCCTGCTTTGGCGTGGAGCCCCTGGGTCGTATTTGCATGGACAGAGAGACCTTGACCTGCTGCCAGGTGCTGCAATATATGAGTACTGGCCTACCACAAGACAAGTAGCTGGAGATCCACAAATTACAGCAAGCAGCTTTGCCAAAAACATGCATCTACTCACAGCTGATGAGCGCAGTTGACCTGTGTGGCTTGCTCTTGGGCCCAGCACAGTAGCCACAGTTTTGCACAGGAGAATGATCGAAAATTCCAGCGTTGGTGCTCACACTAAGATTTGACCTAAGGTTGAAAATCTAGTTGGTGTTGGGCAACGACCTGATGCATGTAAGCACAGGTTCATGGCCATGGCAGCCATGTACAACGTTCATCTTGTGCAATCGCCTTGATGACTGGAACATCGCCTGAACAATCCTCTCAAAGGTGGAGAACTTCAAGCCATCTGGTGTTCAGAATCAAGAAGCTATAGAATACTGACAACTTCTCCCGCCTTGTCTTGCAGTTGGTGCACAGAACTTGTCGCATCATCATATTTCTTGTATTGCCGCATTCCTGGTTGAGTAGATTGGGCTGGCTGGTAAGCACATGGATGTTGATGTTGTCCCTTCCTGAGGGTTGTACTGGGGCAAAGTGGATGTATTGTCTTATGGCCACTCTTCTGTTCTGGTTTGCTGCAGGTGTGTCTGGCGCAGCCTCTGCTGCAATTTGCTGCTGTTTAGAGTCGTTGGCAGCTTGCTGACATCCGAAGGCTGAAGCTGCCAGGCAGGTGTGCAGGCAAATGTTGCAACAGCTGCCAACTGCCAGGACTGGCTGCAGACCATACCCATGGCTATGACATGGGTGCATGGCATCCTGCCTCATATAA